TTATTTATTTATTTATTTATTTATTTATTTATTTATTTATTTATTTATTGACAGAAGGTTAAAACCATGCTTTGTCTGAGTGGGAATATTTGATGACATACGCGTTACATGCACGTGCTGCTACTTATAGATATTATTAACTAAAATAGAAAAAAAATGAAGTACATTAGAGAAGTGGCAGACAGATGGAGCCTCTGCTTTAGGGTAATACTAAACTGGGTTTTCCCCTGTGTTACATTTCTGYGCTGAAACATATAAACTTTCAAAGATTCCCTTTTTTCTAAAGAAAAAAAAGTGCTTAATTGTTTTCTGAAGCCTTGGGTACAAACTTATCTTTACTCCTGCATGATGTAAAAAAAAATCTCACAATGAACCTGTTGCTCTGTTTCAATCTGTTCTCTGCATCAGGCAAGGTGTCTGCTGGATCATGTCAGATCCAAAGGTGAGGCAGCAGCAGCTGCTGTTTTGCAATTCATTCAGCAAAGAGAGGAATCAGAATCCCAACTGAGCCAGAAGAATTTGACTCAAACTAAAGGTGTGTTGTCTTCACATAAGCACTGAAGTTACATATAATGTGAAAGTGTTGTATAAGAATCTATAAAGTATTTTGCTATGAAATACCCTGCATTTGTTTAAAAAATACTACACAAAAACATACCTAAGCTGCAAAAGGGAAAACGATGTGTCATTTCATATTAACTGAACTGAAACCATATAAGGATCAAAAGTGAGACATCAATTTCTTGTGTAGCTTTTAAAATCCATGAAAAAAGCAGCAACTAAATTTAAAATTTTATATTTCTTTTACATGGAGTGGCTCTATACCGAAGTGCAAAATAGAAATATTTAATTAATATCACAATTAGCTTGAAATGTTACTGAAGTACAGTGTATGAGTAAAGTGTTCATCTTGACTGTGCTGAAAATTGTGCTGTTGTTGTAGATATCATAACCAGTAAACATTCTTAGATTGCTTTGTACGAGCTCTTCCTTATATAAGTAATTTAAGAAAGATGTATCTCTATAAAATATAGAAGTCAAACTGCAAGAACATAAGTTTTTTTTTTTAAAAAAAGCTTACAAATGAGCTCATAAGCTCCCTGTACTAAAGATTATACACAGAAGGTGCAGGGCATTGTTCTCCCTTTTAATTTTGTAGGAAATGGCGCAAAACTAAACAAAACTTGACATCGGTTCACAAAATGCTTTGACAAAATAAATGCCATTGCAGTAAAACTGAATATGAAAACTCACCAGTTTAAATGCCCAATATCTGATACTTTTTGAACAACTGGTTGTTGGCTTTCCTGTGCATAAATAACTGATCACAAAGTAGGAAAATTAAAAGGCAGCAGTAACTCCCAGCTCAGGAATTGTTAAGCAGTCAGATTTTTACTGAAAGGARAATATGCAAATATCAGAATCAGTTTGTTTGTCATTGTACAGAGCACAACAAAATGTTTCAGTACACACTGTTTGTGCTTAGTTGGTGATTTGATTTGTACTAATATATTTCAGTGTTTTAGTTAGAAGTTTGAAATGTCCTACTTTACTGAACTCATCATACAGATGTTCACTGAAAGCACCACCGGCACATGCAGACAAGTGCACACCTCTCCTGGTTTTCTTTCCATTCGGTGCAGTAGTTGAGAGAGGATGTTTCCCTGTATTACTGTTTATCATTGTGTGTGAATGCCAAACGGTGTAATAACTTTATTATGTGGTTTATGTATCGCTAAACTTATTCCTGAAATTGTGTACGTGCTTACGGTAGCTACTCTTTTCTTTATTATAAATCTGTTAATTTAGTATGTCGATTTACTTTAATGATGAGCATTATATCCTGTGATTTTTAGATTTAATGAGACATTTGATGACAGAGATAGTTATTTGTTTTAACATTTTATTTTCATTATTCATTTATGGTACACAATAATATTGTACTGATTTTTATTTGTTTATTGCTGTTGTTTCAGACCATAAATGATAAACACAATCCGATAAATGTGTCTGTAACTCATAACCGGATGGCTCACATCTACTGTATAAACTACAGCTGAAATAAACCATTCAAGCTGGAATCTGCATCCACTATTATATGAAATATAAATATAAGAATAGGAAAACATTTTAACTGTAAAGTGCTTTGGTCACCTTAGTGGGTTGTTGCACTCAATCAATCAATCAGTCAATCAATCAATCAGTCAATCAATCAATCAATCAATCTGCATTAGTCAGAAAATAAAAACTTGATACTGTATGTCAGGCATTGTCTACATTGATTTCTAAAGATCAGCATTGGCTAATCTGGTTGACCTCTAATCACATACAATCAAAAAGAAAAAAAAAGTAGTTTGTTTTTGTTTTGTCATGTTTTTGGGCTTTCATTTCTTTTTGGTTTGAAAATGTTCTGTTCTGTAACTGCAATTTCTGTTTTGTGTATCATCTCCTTTTCCTCTCAGAGTTTTTAAAATACCAGAAGAAGTTGAGCAGTTCTGTGTCGGCACAGTCCTGCTTTCTCAGTACTTATGGAGGGACCAACCACATGGCTCTGGATGACGTCTTCACTGAAGTCCAGCTGGAACTTCCTCACAACAGTGTTGGTGTCCACACAGCTTTGGGCCTGGAGGACATAGTTGGCCCTGTGGGGACAGTGAAYGAGAATGCTGACACTGTTCTGGTATCTGGGGAGGCGGGCAGTGGGAAAAGCACCCTACTCCAGAAGCTGCACTTGCTTTGGGTTCAGGGGCTTGCCCTTCAGGACTTTGTCCTTCTGTTCCCGTTCAGCTGCCGCAGGCTGAACTCCGAGCACAGGGAGCTCTCTGTTCGGGAGCTGCTGTTTGAGCACTGCTGCTGGCCCGACAGGGAGCAGGAGGAGATCTTCCAGCTCATACTGGACCACCCTCATCTCATCCTCTTCACCTTCGATGGCCTGGATGAGCTGAAGCACAGCTTTTTTGACGAGCGTAGACTCTGCAGCCCCACCCAACGTGCCCCAGTTCATCTGCTGTTATTCAACCTTATCCAGGGTTCTCTGATGAAGGGGGTCAGAAAGGTGGTCACTAGTCGCCCAGAGGCAGTAGGATCTGGGTTAAAAAAGCACCTTTGCAAAGAGGTCCTTCTGAAAGGCTTTTCCCCATTGAGCATTGATCGCTTTGTGAGAAAACATCAGAGAAATTCAGCTTTAGCAGCGAAGGTCTTGGAGTCCATCCAGGCAAACACAGCTTTACTTGGACTGTGTCACAGTCCGGTTCTCTGCTGTATTGTCTCACAGTGCCACAAGGAGCTGCTTGGTTGTGGAGAAGGAAGCCCACAAACAATAGCAGATGTTTATCTGATGATTTTACAGCACTTCTTCCAGCACCACAGCATGGTAAAGCGTAGCGTGGGAGGCTTGCTGCAAGACAACCTAGAAACCGTTTTAAGTCTTGGGCAGCTTGCCTTTAAAGGGATAGCCACCACCTGTTATATCTTTTCGGACACAGACCTGGAAACATATGGTGTAACTGAGAAGGACGTTTGCATGGGCTTTCTCACACAAAGCAAAGACATGTCCCTTGATCACAGCAAACACTATGAGTTCCTTCATGTGACAATGCAATGCTTTTTTGCTGCTCTCTACATTGTCCTGTCAAGTCAGCTCGACTGTGCAACTATCCCCAAGCTTTTTGAGCTGCAGGACAGGAGGGAGACAGATCACAGCAGCACCTGCTTCAAAGCCTGCCTGCCTTCAAGCGATCAACAGGGGAACATCTTGGAGGAACGTGCAGCTACTGCAGCAGAAACCCCAAATTTGCAGATCACAGCCACCTTTGTGTCTGGATTTCTGTCCCAACGCCTTCAACGGCTGTGGCTCCACTGCTGCTCAAGTGCTGTGGTCGAGAAGAAGAGTCGACAGGTGGCAAGATGCATTTCCAAAGGCATGCAGAAACACTTCAAGTCCATCCCTCGGCCTGTCCAGGGGGAGAAGAAGAGCATGCACGCGATGCCCGAGTTTGTCTGGCTCATCAAATGCATCTATGAGATGCAGGAGAGCAGGCTAGCTAAAGACGTCATGAGCAAGCTACAGGTGGACCACTTGAAGCTGACCTACTGTAACATCGGACCTGTGGAGTGCACTGCACTCGCTTACGTGCTCCAGCATTTGAAGAAACCTGTGGGTCTGCAGCTGGACAACAACTCAGTCGGCGATGTCGGAGTGGAGCAGCTTCTTCCCTGCATGCACATTTGTAACTCTTTGTAGTGAGTGCAGAGCTTTGTTGCTACGTTCAGTTCAAGCATTGATCATTTCTACTCATTAATATTGTAATTGAGTTGACATTAATTTGCCGGGCAGGATAGCTCTTTATAGTTAAACTTGTTATTCCTCTGTCAGTCTCAGAAACAATAACATTACAGATGAGGGGATCCACAAACTCATTGCTAAAGTGATCCAGTGTGAGAACTTCCAGAAAATTGCGTAAGTATTGACAAGACTACTCTCTCCACTGTGAAGCTACAAATAAAATACATGCAGATATCATGTTTCTGTGTGCAGCCTCTTCAACAACAGACTGACTGATGCGTGCACTCAGCACTTTTCTCATCTTTTGAAGAACAAACAGAATTTTCTGTCACTGAGGTCAGCGCACAGTTAAGAAGCAGCACCAGCATGAGACTATGGTGTAAATCACACATCTACACACATAACATATTTTAACCTTTCAGGCTGGGCAACAATAATATTACTTCAGACGGAGCAAAACAGCTGGCAGAAGGACTGAAACAGAATCATTCACTGCAGTATTTGGGGTAAACATTTTTCTGCAGAACTGCAGTCACTGTGTTCTCTTTGTGTACTGATTTTTGTCATCTCCAAAGGCTCTGGGGCAACAGGATTGGCGATGCAGGCGCAGAAGCCATTGCCAGCGCTTTAGAAAGTAGTAAATCTCTTGTGTGGCTCAGGTAACAATCACTTTAAAGTCTTAACTCCAATTTTTGATCATCCTTTCATGTGAAGATGTAAGAATTGGAAAATGTGTTTTAATGATAAGAGTCTTTCTATGGGGTGCCATTTGTAAAGCGGCATATCGATCTTAAATCTCACAAAACGTTACTACTTTTGGCCAAGCAATGCTGACACTGTGCCAGTGTGGAGTGCACAGGTGAAAGAGGGGCTAGTAAGTCACACACCCACCATATAAGTAACATTTAATGCTCAAAGTACACATCTAATAACATATATAAATACATGTTTTTATAAATATGTTTTTTAGATATTTACTGTCATTATAATGTATTGATTTGCCCATTTTTTTCACAAGACATTATTTTTATTCTATAAACACAGTCAAGCTTTTGTTTCTGGTTACAGGCAGTGCAATTTGCATATTAGCTAAATATTTAGATGCACCAAAAACATTTAGATTTAATATTTATTATTTAGATTTAACATTTGCATTTAGATTTAAATTTAGCTTTAACATTTAGATTGACCTGTTTAAATGTGCTAAAAGGTGGGTTTAGAAAATCATTACTGTTTCAAACATGGTTTGATGCAAAATGTAACAAAACTTCACTGTTATTTTTAGCTGAAGCCGCTTTACAAACGTGCACCATACATATCAGCTGTATTTTACACAATCGTATGCATAATGTATAAATGCATGTAATGACAGCCTGGTAGGAAATGGTGTAGGCAATGCTGGAGCATGTGCTCTCTCTACAGTCATCAGGAACTGCACCTCACTGGAGGAGCTTTGGTGAGTCTTTGAGAAGTTTTACTGCAAACTACAAATGCACATTAGATTTGCATGAACACACAAGCATTGTGACAGTTGAGCAAGATGCAGTGGTTTGTGAACTGCTCCTCCCTTTTTTTCCTGTTAGGTTGACAGAGAACTGCATAACAAGAGCAGGAGTGGAGCATTTGATTCAAGCCTTAAAGCAGAGCACACATGTGAAGTCAGTGTGGTAGGTGATGCAAACAGAGCCATGTAGACAAGTTCCTTTTTATGTGCTCCGGGTTGTTTGCATTTTAAATTTAGGGACAACGTGTGACTGTGAAAATGGCATTTTTCAAACTTTATACTCTCATTTTCAGTTGTTTAGCCCGCCTAAAATATTTGTTCTTTTCTTTCTTCTGCAGGTTGAAAAACAACAACCTCAGTTCGGAGGAGGTTGAGGAAATGAAGCAAACTGAACCAAGATTGATTTTTTGATTTTGAAGTACACTATGACTGTGCATTGTATTAAAGCTATCACTATTTATTATATGAACTGTTTAAAATTACAATACTGTGTGAAATGTAAAAAAGTTATTTTAAAATTCTTTTTGGTCAAGGATTTGCTTAAATACACAAAACACATCTGTCTTCATGCTGTTTTATTTCTACAATGAAATTTTATTGCACCACGACATCAACAAAAATGTATATTTTCTAGGCTACTTATAAAAACAGAAGGTAAAGCTAGAAACGTTTTCAAGAAAGAAACTTACCGTATTTATTCAAGTATAATAGGCTACGTAAAATTAAATCCATAAAATCATCCACAAATTGCATTATACTCGGATAAATATTTTTACATATTTTAACTGAAATATCGGCTTCATTTACAAAATGCCTGAGTCCTGAAATGAGACCGTGTCATAAAAAGCAGTTGACGCGAGCTTAGCTCTGACACTCCTTCATTCTTCAGAGCGAGAACAGATCCAGGCAGGCGACATGATGTGAAAAAAGGGGAAAAAAGTAGTCCTGCACCTTAATGATGATTGCCAACTGACATTAGTGTGTGACTGGGCTGCTCCTCGAACAACAAACACATGTTCGTCTGTAATGGCTGCCGTCTACCGGTGTTCTGAAACAAGTTTGTTTCCCTGAAAAAAGGTTTCCCCGCCAGAGGGGGCGCTCGCGAGTAGGAAGTAATCTGCTTTTCCCACAGAAGATGGTTCAAATCTCATGTGAAGTCTCTGACTTTTGTGTTGGCGCCTCCTGGTGGACTATGTGTAAAATGTCAGAATTCACATGATGCTGCTACAGCTGATATATATTTGATGTCAAAATACCTTTTAGTACATATTATTAAAATAAAATGAACAGTCCAATGATCATTTTACTGATATGTATAAAGACTGCAAAGGCTGAAAAATCTTGAAGTCTGTATGAAATTGGAGGTAGTTTGAGGTTTAATTTTTAATGCTTTTTAAGCTTAAAAAAAGGGGTGGGGGTCGTATCATACATGAGATCCTATTATACACGAATAAATACGGTAGTTAGCTGTGGCCAAAGCTCGTTGGACCACAAAGCCTTTTAAAACTCTAGCAGTGCTTAACTTTGTATTTGGAACAATTCTTTTACTTCACGGCTACTTCTGTTACATTATTTGAATTTACAGTTAACAACACTTCAAAATGATAAGAAATTTTGCCACATTAATCTTTTTGTCACAAATCACACCTCACAGATTTTACCTTTTCTGATGTAAATGCAATGTTAATATTCCAGTAACATCATATCCAGAGTATACAAAATGCAAATAATACCATCATACTGTACAATAATTTGTCTGTTTTTGAAGGTCAATGCACATAAGCTGCTGGTGCCATTTGGAACATATGAACTTTTGTATATATCTCAGAATAGCGCTAATGATAATAATAAAAAATTTCCACTACTGCCTGCATCTGACAACAGAAAGCATTTCTCTGCACTTCAACCTATCTGTTTTCCTGCCATCAATGGGAAAACCCCTCAAAGTGGGACTTGATGGGAAACGCAAAATCCAACCAATCAGAGCACGAGTAGGGATCGACTGGCCAATGGATATTAGAGAGCGCGATGACGACACCCTTTCTGGCTAAAGTCGTCTCTTGTAAATAATAAATGTCTGAACTGAGCGATCGTTATTGCGCGTATTTTTATGTGGCACTGTAACCTGAATGCTGTCCGTGCACTTCAGATATGGCGGAAGTCTTCTGCCAGTCTTCTTCATGCTGACCAGCTCGCTTTGCTAACTTTAGCGTGCTAAGAGCGCTAGCATTAGCTAACCTCTTTAGCTAATGAGAGCTTGATACGGGAGGAATATATCATGTCTTTGGKAGCCTGTTTCTGACCGAGATGATCTGTCTGTCATCTGTAGTCTCTAAGTGAGCTGACTCATATCGAAGGTAAGGTGTCCATCTCTCAGACACATGTGACAGTGACAGTATGGTGCATATTTTAGCCAGTTTCCTCCCAAAAAGGGGCCCGAATCAGTGACAGCTTTTGCCTGATTACACGCCGCTGCTGCTTTAGTTGTCAAGGAAAACGTGTATTAAAACGAGCTATAACAGTGCTTTGTGGTTTTCACTTAAAAGGCAACGCTTAGAACAGTAAATTCAGACCATGCATGTCGTATAATAGATTTTTCATTGCCCTGTTATAGCCCTGCATGGCAGAAAAAAAAAACAATAAAAAAAACCCCAGTATGAATGGGATAATAGTTCACCCAAACGGTCTTTCATTGCTTCTTTATAAAGTAACAACTCCATTATTAGGCCAAAGTCGTCAGTCTGTTTCTATTGTCATGTCTGAAAGAATGGACGGATGTGGATGGTGCAGATGCTGTCTGAGACATGATGTGGGGGAAATCCACAGGGCTGGTACCGGTCCTGTCCTGTGTGTGTGTCTGAATAGGTCAGCTGTGTGTTCTCCATCTATTGTTAGCACAGTCAAATCAGTAGATGTGAGTAATTACACACCATCGTACTAAAAACAGGACTGATGCACAAGGATAATGACTGGGCTTTAGAGAGTACAGCTGTTTGGTTTCATGAAAGAAAAAGAGTTAGATGGGATCTAAAATATGTGAGTTAAAAATGCTTAGTCTGCAGTTTTATTTTTATACTCCTGCATTAAGTCTTATGAAGCAGACGCTGGAATTGTTGTGTTTAATGAGCATTGGCATTGCATTTGCGAATGTAAAAACAAACCAACAACAAAAAAAGCAATCTCTTGTAATTTGATAAAGCACTTTATTTTCTAAAATTCAGTAAGCTGCAGCTAGGTACTCAGTTTCAATCTCCACTGTCTTATGGTGGGTTACTTTAATTTTTCTCGTAGTTTCTTTTTTCGTCTGATTACCTGGCAAAAGTATATTCGGTAATACATGTTTTAACTTTTTCATAAAACTTCCAAGTGTGATTATTTATTTGAGTAGTACAAATAKTTTTTTTAAAAGATTCATACTTTTTTTTCCAGACCACTGGTCAAGCTTGCCCTGGCCTCCTGCCTGCCATGCAGCCATGAGCTCTGCCCTGTGGAGCCAGGAGAAGCCCAGCGGGGGCTTTCGGGAGGACTGGCGCTTCTACATGGTCATAAAGGAATGTACCGTGGAGAAACCCGCCCAGAAGACCCTGAGGATCCCCCGTGGTAGCCTTGGCCAGGCCTGCCAGGAGCGTAACAGCCTAGGGCGACCTCTTCCCCCATGTAAGGGTAAGAAAAGTCTCCGAATCCTGGACCAGACCAACGTGGTGCTGAGCCTGGATGAGCGGGACGTCCAGGAGCTGGACGAGAAGTTGGCTGAGCTGCTGTTCCCCATTACCAACTGTGAGGAGCGATACGCCCTGCTGTATGACACGTTGCGGCTGGAGCGCGTCAGGGACATCGACTGTGGTTCCAAAGTGCGAGTCCAGCTGCGCTCGGGGGATAAACCTCTGCCTGGTGTAGTCCGCTTCAAAGGCTCCCTGCTCCCAGACAGAGCTCTGTCTGGAATCTGGTTTGGAGTGGAGCTGCTGGTGAGAACCCTCCTGTAGTGTTTTCTCTGTTTTTGTTTTTGTTGTTAGTTGAAACAGTGACGTTTGTGTGTCCTTGTCCGTTTGCGTAATATTCCCATCATGCAAGAAACGTATAAGAATATTTTTTATCACGACTAAAAAAAAATATTCAATTTAAAGGATGATTAAACAAGACTTAAAACAGAAGCACCTTAATGCAAAAAACAGACGGATATAAAATAAAATGAAATGAAATAAAATATGTAATATTTCCATTAAAGCCACAGATTGAAAACAACATGCAGATGTCAAACTAAAACCCATTAGTTCAAAAGAAAACTGTACTTATAATACAGCTTTGTAAGACAAGAGGTGGGACTTTTGAAACCCAATTTAAAAAAAACATCCCTTATTTTACCAGTCTTTTCACTCTGGTGTCTGGTTGCTTTGTAAGTTTTTGTTGAGGTGTTTTGTAGGGGTGTAAGAAAATATCGCTATACTGAAATATCGCGATATTTCATTTCCCAATACTGTATCGATATTCTAAAGTCCTGTATTGATTTTTTTTATTAAGGTTTAAAATGTCAACTTTCCTGCCAGCCGTTCATTTTTATGTTGTAGTTCAGCCTCTGTCCACTAGTTGGCAGCAGTGAGCCAGCCACTTGGCTCCTCTACCTGTTGAGGTAGAGGCT